TTTTAACCCAAGGTTATATTTATGAATTTCATAAACTCGGATGTCACTTGTATGATTTACATCAGTCATCCCAAATAACAAAAGTGGTGAATGTCTCCCGAGCACCTAGTACCTGTAGGCACGGTGGCAAGGGCCTTTGCCACAATTCATCTTGTGATCAGAAGGCACTCCTTGTGTGGGCACAAGAATTGGAGCTTAGAAAAGCTGTGTCACCTCCCAACGTGAACTTCACTGACGTTCGCCAAGCTAGCCAGGACCACTGACGTTCGCCAAGCTAGCCAGGACGGAGCCAAGAGGTAAATATGGGTCGCGTGATTCCGTTGCTCTCCTCTCAGCTTTTCCCACTCCCTCAGACGGGAGTGGGTTGGGCACTTGAGGTGTTCCACCTAAGCCAGGTGGGTTTTAAACTTGTATTTTAGGGAAGCTGCAGACGGGTATTTGATTGAGAAGTTTTCTATTTTATGCATATTCCCATTGCAAGGGAGGAATACTGCTAGGAATTATATTGAGTTAGATCATGTTGTCAGATCTCCTTGATTCATTTGGCTACCAGTGGGGCATGAAATCTTGTGGGAATTTCTAAGAAAAATTATCCTCTCAAGTCTTTCATTTAACTAAAAAATTCTCTAGTTCAGAAACCATTTTATCTACTTTAAGTTGAAACCATTTATATGCCCTCTGTAAACACGAACAATAATCAGAGGAAAAACTGTGGTATTCACTAGTAAGTAACATATCTAGAACCTTTAAAGCCATAGTTAGGAAAAGGAACAATTGGGGGGGGGTGTGAATATATGCAGTAATGTGTTTTCTTTTTTTAAATTTTTTTTCCAATTTTTTTTTTAGTTTTGATGGACATAGTATCTTTATTTTTTTAAAGAGAGAGAGAGAGAGAGAGAATTTTTTAATATTTATTTTTTTAGTTTTCAGTGGACACAACATCTTTATTTTATTTTTATGTGGTGCTGAGGATTGAACCCAGAGCCCCACACATGCCAGGCAAGCGCACTACCGCTTGAGCCACATCCCCAGCCCAATATCTTTATTTATTTATTTTTAAATGGTGCTGAGGATCAAACCCAGTGCCTCATAAGTGTGAGGCAAGTGCTCTCTGACCCACAATCCCAGCCCAGGTGTTTTCTTAACATTTGCATCTTTAAAGTTACCTTGTAAGTTTGTGAAAAAAATCTTGACACAGGTCATAAAAAAAAATCATTTAAAATTATAAACTCATCTTTAGTAGTTATAATCTGATTTTAGTAATTGCAACCTGATTTCTGCAGGTAAACTATTTTAAAAACAAACTAGAGAAAGAAAACTTTTAAGAACCCGTGTTGACTTTCTCTCCTAACTCTCAAGCCTTCTTTATAAGTCTTAATACAATCCTCAGAACAGTCTCATGTACTACAAACTCTAAAACAATACAGAATTTTTTCAAACGATAATTGCTTGTTTTTATAAAGTGTACCATAAAATAGTTTTAATTTGTATTACATACGCAGCTGGGAGTTGCTGATCTGTAAGCAATCTCACCTCTCTAAACTTTTGCCACTTTTTAGAAACAGCAGAAAAATCTGATAGCCAAAGCAAACATCAGCATTAAAGTGATATAAAGACAGTTTTGTTTTCTAGACTTCATATCTCCATCCTCTTGAGCTTGCACACACGTGCGCACGCATACACATAATTTCAGAAGAGGGGTAGGAGATGTGTCTCAGTCTGTTTCCTACTGCTGTAATAGACTACCTGAGGTTGGGTAATTTAAAAAAAAAATGTGTTTCTTTTTTTTTAAAATTGGTTCTTAGTTATACATGACAGTAGAATCCATTTTGATAAATTTATACAAGCATTAAATATATCTTATTCTAATTAGGATCCCATTCTTATGGGTGGACACATGGTGGGATTCACTTAGGTATTTTTGTATGTGTACATAGGAAAATAATGTTATACTTACTGTACTCTTTCCTCTTCCTATACCCCCTCCCTTCCTTTCATTCTCCTTTGTCTAATCTATGAACTTCTCTTCTTCCCCTCCCCTCCCTTTATTGTGGTTTAGCTTCCCCATATTAGTGAAAACATTCAACCTTTGTTTTGGAGGAATTGCCTTTTTCACTAAACATGATATTCTCCAGATCCATCCATTTACTGGCAAATGTCATAAAGTCATTCTGCTTTATGGCTGAGTAATATTCCATTTTATTTATTTATATAAATATATATAAAATATATAAATAAATATGTATATAATATATAAATATATATAAATAAAATGGAATGAATAAAGAAATATATATATATATATACTTTTTCATTCATTCATCTGTTGATGGGCATCTAGGTTGGTTCCATAGCTCAGCTATTGAGAATTGAGCTGCTATGAACATTGATGTGGCTTTGTGACTACAGTATGCTGATTTTAAATTTCCAAGATATACAAAGAACTCAAAAAGCTTAACACACAAAAAAAATTATACCAATCAATAAATGGGCAAAGGAACTGAACAGATCCTTCTCAAAAGAAGAAACGTGAATGATCAACAAATATATGAAAAATGTTCAACATCTCTAGCAATTAGAGAAATACAGGTGAAAACCACACTGAGATTTCATCTTACTGCAGTCAGAATGGCAATTATCAAGGATAAAAGAATAACAAATGTTGGTGAGAATGTGAGGAAAAGGGAATACTCATATATTGTTGGTGGGACTGCAAGTTGGTGCAACCCCTCTGTAAAGCAGTATGGAGATTCCTCAAAAAACTAGAAATGGAACCGCCATTTGACCTAGTTATCCCGTATCCCTCAGCATATGTCGAAAGGATTTAAATCAAAGGCTAGGTAATTTATAATGAACACAAATTATGGGGCTCGTGGTTCTGGAGGCTGGAAAGTCCAGGGGCATGGCGCTAGCATCTGGTGAGGGCCACTGCTGCAACATCCCATGGCAGAAGGAAGAAGGGCAAGGGCAAGAAAGCAAGAAGAGACCAAATGGCTTTCCTAAAGATCCACCTTCACATACACTCTCATTCCTTTTATTAAGCACCTCACTCTACTCACCAGGAGCAGGCCCTCCTGCACTGTCCATCTCCCCTTGGGCCCACCTCCCAGGACTGTGGCACTGGGGATGAAGTTTCCAACATATGAACTTCAGGGAACATAATCAAACTATAGCAGAAATAACAAGAAGGAAGTGGACTCTGGACACAACTGTTTTTCCTCTTAGGATTACAGTCTTTGTCCAGTCATTCTCAAGTATCCATTTCAGCATCCTCAGTATATTTTCTTGTGGTTGTAATATTCCATTCCTTGCATGGTGATGGTGATTTTAAAGGATTTGTAGCAGCAAAGGAATCACTCTGAGTCCAAAAGCGCTTCATCGTGATCAACATCATGAAGAGCTGCTCCACTCTCAGGGCTGTTTGTGGCTGTTCTAGTAGCGTTTGGAAACACCTGCTTCTCTTGCAGTGTTTGCAGATGCTCTTGAGTGTGGCATGAGCATCAGCCTCACCCTAAGAATGGAGGAGTGGTTGTTTTTAAAGAAACCATGTAAATTATTTTGTTTCAAGTATGTATTGTATAGATGAAAAGCTGTTATTTTATGGAAAGCAAACTCATTATATAAAGATTGAGATTTTCCCCAAATAAATATTTACAATTTTTTAAATGTAAGATTGCTTAAAAAGCAATATTTTAAATTGTGCTGAAAACATTTGAAAAATAAAATTTTCATATTCATATAAAGCCATATATAGAGGCCTTTAAGATAGATTAAAAGAGCAGGGCAGGATAGGCTACACAGGTTTTTCAGATATTTCTAAAAAAAAAAAAAAAATCCTCCTATCCACATTTTTTTCTGTCTCAGATAAAAGCAATTGTTTCAATGTATCTTAAATGCAAATGCAATTATGTGAATTCTAGTTTATATGAGACAAGACCCCATCCCTTCTGTCTCCCACATTTCAGTTATTCACTGTTATCCTCATCCAAGTTACTTATTAGGAACTTAGATACATGCTGATACCCCACAGATAAATAGATAACACTGTCAGAAGCTTTTGGGTTGAAAGAGAGTTAAAAAGGAAAAAATACAGAGCTACATCAGATTTGAGAAAGGTCTTTCTTTTCATTCAAGTCAGCATTTTTAAAACTCTGAGGCTTAATGCCTGCTGAATTTCATATTAATCTTACATAGTTTCATAATGCTAATGATGCTATTTAGACGGGGGGG